AACCAATCTAGTAAATCTCCTTTGCAATACATATATATTCTATTGCTCTATTCCTCTAAAGACCATAACTAATAGGCACTTATATGTATACAAATACATTGTAAACTCAAATGAGTACGATGATGCCATGTCTTACCTGCTTAGAATAGAGAAATTGTATTCCTTTAGAGTCACAAATACCCCTGTCAAAGCCTCTCCTTACCCACATTAAAGTTCTTACTGTCTCATACCTGACTCAGCTCTGCCTTAGGAACTCTTATGTTGGCTTCATTTATGAGCTTTTGTTAAACCCATGGTAAAATGCTTCATTGATAAAAGTCTAAAATCTGCCTGGCCCTTTTACATCACATTTCAATCATGATTCAGCAGGCCCACCATCAAGCTTGTGAATCCTCGGTTACCTGACTTGGGGGTTGAAGACTTTGAGGTGGGAGAATGGAATTTTAACACAGATGAATCCAGAGTCTGATGAGAGTATGACCTGCCTCTCAAATAGCCATATCCCTTCATCTAATCATTTCCCAGTTTTAACTACATCAAAATTAGAACAGGAATACACTGTGAGGAGTCTATTCTCTTTTAGATTGTAGAACAGTAAAGGGATGCCCAAGACAATCACCTGCTCTGCCCTATTCTGGTCCTATTCTGGTGATAACAGAGACCTTAATGTTAGGGCCAAGCTTCCAAATGTCCCTCCATTCACACAGAAGTGTCTTACTTTGTACCCAACACTCATCCCTGTGAGCATGTCTAATATGGTTATAGTTGTCACCTAATAAAGTACCTGTTCCTTCTCTGACACTGGGATCTATTAAAATGCCCAAGGGAAGAATTGTTCCTAACCATCAAAAGCTCAGAGCTTGTCACAATCCACTCAAGGAGATGTTGGCTAACCCACACAAGAATAAATCATCAGTTTCCAGAGAAACATTTCCTCAAATTATTTTTTAAAAACTATTATGACAGGTAGTAAGGGGACACACAGGTTATTTATATCCATGCAATAAAGAATCTAACCATGAAAATTCTCTCTTGGAAAACTCAATGTAACATTGTTCTGTACCTACAGGATCTGCATTGAAACCATCTGAACCATGGGAATGTGCTTCTATATGATACTAAAAAGCCATCATGCTGGAAGAAAAGAGAAAGCATACCCCTTGTTGAATGGCTGAAAACACTGCATATTTGAACAGCACTGGGCTCATGTGGTCGAGGCATTTCCCTTAATTTCTCTGTGCTTTTCAGAGAAGACTTCTCCCTATCATATGGCACAAATCCAGCAGGTCTCCCTTCTCACTTTGACTGTCCCATTTCTCAAGAATATACTAAATCTAATCTGTCCAAATATGAAGACTCTAGGTGAATATTAAGTGGAATTTTAATACAGATGAATCCAGGTTCCAGTGGTTGAGTTCCCACCGTGGCCTCTGCCTGATAATTCACCGTACCTTCATCTTTGGCCAGGTTCTTGACTTTCTAGGCCCCACTGAGAGTTTCTTCCTCAATCAAGCTGCTCTGTTCCTACTTAATTATTTGCTACATCAGGAATCTGCAAGCTATCTCCCTACTGTATCACTATCATGACTTTTATTTCATGAGATGTCTATGCGAACACCTGTATCCACAGGAGTGAGACCAAGACTCTGCCCAAAGCAAAATATTGTTAAATAGATACCTGTATTATGCACCATAACCATACTTACCCTAGTGAACAATTAGTTATTCTAAGCATTCTTTGAGCCCAGCAACTTTCTATCTATCTTCCTCACAGAATTTTGGTCCATAACACAAGCCTGGGAGGTAAGTACCACCCAATGAGCCCATATAATAACTTCTGATTTCATATGGCGTGGAGGTGGGAGGAAGGATTGAAATATGAGCATCTCCGTGCCCATGACACTCTCCTCCACTGAATCCTGCTTCCCTAGACCAAGTAAGCTTTGTTTATGACCACATTAAAGACAACTGAAACAAACAAACAAAAACAAACAAATTGAATATACTACATTGAAAACACAATAATGGGTGCTGAAAATATCATTGGCCCCGCTTTGAAATTCCTAGATTTTTTTTTTAGTTCCCTCATACTTTGCTTCCAAAACATCCATATTTATTATTTTCTATTTATAAGTGATAGAGAGTATGTCTGAATGATTGCCTGTAAAAATGACTGTCAGTGTCCTCCCAACACAGGATAGAAGGGAGTGCGTTAAAAGGAGAGATGAAGTGTATTTTCCTTCCAGGTAAAAATGGACAGCCTTTTCCTAGATTTGACCAATGACATACAGGAGAAAAACCCTTTACCAGCTCTACACAGAGCAAGGAAGCAATATAGAATTCTCTTTGTTTTTATCTCAGAGTAATAGAACTACCAGGTAAAGTAGTTTGCCACTCCAGCTAGATGCAGAACCTAGCTATCCTTTAAGCAGTGAACTGAGAGATCAGAACTGTGGCTGAAGAAGTCCTGAGTGCTCCATTCTAGCTGAGGCCTCAGGTAACACTAGCCCATCACCGAGCATGGCAAGCTCAGCTCACTTGAAAAATATCAAGCTATTCTGACATTGTTTTTAGCACCAAGTTTTGGAATCATGTGTAATGTAAACACACAAAAAAAAATGTGTTATAATTAGAAAATTCTCCTTGAAGGAGAAATAAATCTGCACTGTATCTCTCACCCATGAAACCATCTGACTATAAGTTCCTGCTAGTGTGTTTGGCGTTCTGGTCTACATACCGTTTGAGTCCAGAGCTCAAGGGCATGAGAACAATATCACAGTCACCACTCTGTTAAACTAGACCAGAAAGGAAATAAACTTCAGCCTAAAATTCCATATCTTACTGGTTTCCTTTGTCTTTGCAGGATCATCTCAATTGCTTCCTTCTCTATGGGTTCCAAAAGCTCCTGCATACCCAGCAGCCTCTGGTTCTCACAGGCAGGACTGCCCGCTCCAGTGAAGGTACATCAATGCAAGGAGCTGAGTTCATGCTGCCAAGAACATCAGAGAGGAGAGAGACCAACTCCACACTGGCCTACAGATGGCTCCTATCAATCAGCTGATTCTCCCACTACTCCCACAGAAATTTGCTTTGATTTTAAGAACAAGACCTTGGCTCATAACTCTGACTTATAACCTCTCACAGAGCAGACTTATAGACCCTTACTTTATGGCCATTCCCATCACAACACACGTATATTTATCATTTCTATAAAACATATTTGTTGTATATCACCTTTGCAAACAGAGAAAGATGCTGTGGAGGTGAATTTCTGTCTTCAGATTTCAAGTAAAGAAATAAAGTCTAAGTGCTGACTATTTACCTCAGTTCGTACAGTCAATTTATCTGAAGCAGAACCTAAGTATAATGCTGTCTTAGTGGATGACATGGGCTAAAGCAGGGAAGGAACAAACCGTACAGTATGGGAAAGAGGGAAATGTTTTCTAAATTGCATTGAGTCCCTACTGAAGGGAGTATAGATGATAATAGAAAATGAAACCTCCTTTCCTCTTCTAAGATGCTTGATTTGTTCCCAACAGGAAAATGGACTAGAGAAATACCTTGGGCACATAGTGACTTAACTGATGAACTAATACCTGCTCAGCTCAGACTTGAGAAAGAAGCAGGTGGCCAGCTGAGTCTCTCTATGGGCCTTGAGTTAGAATAATCGCAAGCCTTCACTCGATGTCTATGTATCTCACTTGTGGGGTCTCAACTGCACATGCTTTCACTCACCCCAGTGCTGTTGTCCATTCCTAATGGGTTATATGAAGTGGGGCTGTGATTGTCATTTCTGACAATCAGGGTCACTCTTACTTCTAATGATGAACAGCTGCCCTGCGGGTTTCCACCTCCACTTCCTTTCTTTTCCTCTGCCCTGAAGGCAGAATCATTTCCTGTAAGACTTGCTAGAATGTACGGTTCTGTCAGATTTGCTTCTCAATTACCCTGTACTACAGCTAGTTAGGATTTTGCATGGTTTTCTTGTTCAGAGGATACTGTGTTTCCCACTCAGCCCTAACAGACTGGCTCCATAAAGCCTTGGGTTTCCATTTAGCTCTCTAGCATCAAAATTAGGACCTGGGCTTTGCTTGATAGCTTTTTACACGGGGGTATGAAAGGTTATCTAACAGGCCTGAGCACAGCAAGCATGGCAACGACAGGTTTCGCTCTTTGTCCCCTTTCCTCTCCCTTGCTAAAAATCCTTAGATTATATTCCTGAAGCTAGCCCCCAAAGTCCATTCCCTTATTTGTCTACCTACTCATTGTCAAGACAGAAGATAAAGGTCCAACATTCAAACTTCATTATTTGGCTACACTGGCTAACCTTTCTATGTACTCAAGACTTACAAGTTCATTCTAGCACAGACTTCCTCCTTTTCTCATTAAAAACCCACTCCTGCAAACAGACAAAAAAACACCTGCTGCTGCTGCTGCTGCTGCTGCTCCTGCTGCTGCTGCTGCTCCTGCTGCTTGCTGTCTTCCCCTGTTCAAATCTGGAGGCTGCCTTTCAACCCAAGTTTACCTCTCCCGAATAATAAATCTCCATTGTGCTGAGAATTTGGTGTCTGGATAGTTCTTATACAGACTCTGAGGAGTTGGCATTCTTTACAGAGTGATGACATTCAGACCCACTCTTGTACCTAGAAAGTCCTAGCCTAAATGCTCATTTACTTGGTCCCCTGAACCCATAGCAACAGGCTTCCCCTTACCTATCTGCTGGATAATACTTCTCATTAATTTCACCCAGGATATAACTTTACCCAACCTGCTGCAGACAGTTTCTGCCAGGCACCAGACACTCCTGAGAATAATTTTTTTCAGCCAAGTATCCTTAACAATGCTGTTCACACAAAGCCACTTTCAATAGTGGGTCTGCCTTTCCAGAACTCACTGGCCCAATGGTTGACAGTGAGCATTCCCCTGTGTTCTGCCAGACCATGACACACAAGGACATGTGATGGTTTACTCCTGAGGCAGGAGCCCTGCTTTCCACTCACCTGACTGCCCAACGATGGAAGCACTCAGTCTGTGGGGGATCCTTGAGGACACTTTCAAGGTCACTCGGATCTGGTAATACCTACAAAGAAAACAGAAACCAGGCCATGATGATATGACTACTTAACGTGGCTTCTAAAACTATCTAGACATAATTATGGAAAGTCATAGGAAACCACTGAAGATCCCAGATGCCATGCAGTTATCTGGAAGGAAACAAAACAAGATTTTACTGGAGCAGTTAAAGGAGAAGTGATAGGATGGAGAGGGATGCAGGAAACTTCATTACTTCAAATCACATAAGACTGAACAAGGTTTGAGTTGATTGAGTTGATACCAATACAGAAAAGGAACAAATGGGTTACATGACAATCAGTATATAGATATGTTGTTGTTGTTGATGTGGTGGTGGCAATGTTTGGTTTTTTAGTCTAGAAAAATTAACTGTCACAGGAAGATAGGACAATATAGGGCTGGAAATCCATATATGAACGGACTTGATGACTTGTAAAATACACACATATGTGCTTGTGAGTGTGTACCTTTCTTTTACATACCTCCTTGAGGCACGTAGAAGATGGGTTGTCATTTTGTATATATTGCTAACCACTTTTTCCAGTGTAGTCATTTCCTTATCTTACCATATTTTTGTTCCATCACATCCACATTTGGTCCTCCTATGTAAGCTCTCAAGCTCTTAGTAACCACTCCTCTGTAAACCTTGATGCTTTGGTATTAATGATCTTTGCACTTGTAAGCACTTGGGAACCATTTCTGGCATGATTGTCCTCTCCTTTCACATATCTCAAACCCACAGTAAAGTGAAATGTAAATCAGATAAGGTGAACTGCAAGTAAAAGGACCATGAACCACATCAGCTCCCTGTGGCTCACTGTGCTCCTAGCTCAGGAGTCTGGTACCGACTATGTCAGTGGTATCATGAATAGTGGCAAAATATATCTGGGGAGGGTGTTAGGTGTTATTTTGATGTATACACATTGAACAAAGGAGATGTGGTCCTCAGAGCAGTGGCCATGGCTATATGACTAGAGTCTGGGTGGTAGTTTTGAGCTGACCAACTCTGACTTTATCATGTAATTCAAGAAATTTCTCTGACATGTGTGAGCTGAGTGATTTTGAATCTATGATGTAATTTTCTGAACCTATTTTGATTTCTGTAAAATGAGACATAAAATATCAAAAAAGTCCCTTAAATGAGGGTGAAATATAACAAAGGAAAAAAAAAGAGTATGACTTCTGCCTCTAAAGAGTGGAACACCAAATGCTTATATTTTCCTATTCTTTTCCTCAAACACAAGGAAAACTCCAAGGGCACAAAAGGAACACAAGGAGACAAAGATGGAGAGACACACAGGATAGGTGCTCTGGGAGAAGGAAAGCCATGGTGGTAACTTTCCAGACTTCCACTTTTACCCCTTGTATCATAAACTGAGTATTGGGGAGTTTTTTAGCCATCAAGTCAAAACCACGAAAGACTAGGCATACACACACACACCAAATAAGAAGAACATAACAAAAGAGAAAACAGATAACAACTGTCTGCCTCCTACCAGTGACATAGAAAAACAGCAGCACCTCCACACACAGTAGACGGTACAGAGTCCACATGGTAACAAAGCTCCACCTTGATCCTTAGATGAAAGCAGAATTCCATCTTCACTGAGATCCAGAATTACATCCTTAGCAGATGGTAGTGACCCTGGTTTTAGTGGGGACCATAGAGGGAAGCTAGAATTCCACCTTCCAGCCCACACTGATAGGAATATAAGTGCATCAGTAACATTCGAGCTTTTTGTTTGTTTGGTTTTGAGAATTCCATGCATAGATAATGTGTTTGCATCACTTTCCCCCCCTTCAAACTCCTCCTGTGCCCCTCAGATTCTTCACAATTGTTTTACACACACACACACACACACACACACACACACACACACTATACAACTTGTACACTACAGGAAAAAAGGCATTTCTCAACATGTTTTCTTGAAGCTGTTCAACACCTGCAGGCAAAAAAATAATTACAAACAAACCTCAAATTAAATCTCCAGCCTCACATAAAATCTGTCCCCAAACTGGTCTCTCACTCAAATGAAAAAAATAAGCCTATTAAGACAACGTCTACACTACTGATTTTAATGGAGAAGTCTAGCTGGTACCTATATAGAGCTTTTACCCCTACTGGCTAGTGATCTTGGGACTGGAAAGTATGCTGCACACTACCAAGGGAGAAATGTAAACACCAACACAGCTACAAACCCTTCTATCTACAATGATATACTATGTGCAAGATAGTCTAGTGCAATGATGGCACAAAGCCTGTAGAAGCAACCAACCAGTATCTGATTTGATTTAAGACCTAGTCCCTGAGATGGTACCCATACACATGACACTGCATGAGTGAGCAAGAACATGAGATTAGATAGCCCAAGAACAAAGGGGAAAACACATATTACTGCTATACAAAGAGAATAGAGCAATAAAATGAATCCTAATGGCATTCTGTTATGCTCATGGTTAAGAATCTTGCTCAACTCTCATTAGAGAAGCTTCCTAGAGCAGCAGATGGAAACAAATATAGAGAGCCACAGCAAGACAATATGCATAGAGTGACATATTTTGAAAGACTGAGCCCTAAATGGAGGGTCTTCATCAAACTCTCCCCTCAGTGCTCAGGGAAACCTAAGGAATAAGAAGCAGGAGACAAAATATTGTAAGTGCCAGAAGAAATGAAGAACAGAAAGGAAATGAGACCTAAATACAGCAGGACCACTACACAAATAAACTCGCAGAGACAGAGGCAGCATGCACAGCACCAGGAACATGCACATCACCTGCATGGGTCTGCACCAGGTGGGGTCCTAGAACTAAAAGGAGAAGTGGACACATGCTCCCATTCCTAACCCAGAAGCATCTGGAAATAAAAAATAATTTTATCCAAGATAGTCTTACTGAGGGAAACAAACTACTCTAAAGGGTAGTGGGAATGTCCAGCAGTAGCCAACACAGAATGAACTCAAAGGCAGTTGAGAGGTTCTTTTCTCATAGTGTCCTGTCAGGGCTTTGTGTTTAATTTTAATATTAATTTTCCCACTTACTTATTTACTTACTTACCTATTTATTACCCTATAAGTTTTGCATATATATATATATATATATATATATATATTCCAATTTTAATGTTTTATGGGATTCTTGAATATGCAAAAAAGTGTGTCTCTGCATCTATATCTGTGTCTTGTATCTCTTAGGCTCTTTTCTTTCTGTTTGTTTTATCCTATTCTGATTTTTGGCTTCATTTTATCCTATTATATTTTATTATTACCCCTTTGAAGTCTGTTCTCTATTGAGAAATGAAACGGGATGGATCTGGATGGGAAAGATGAGAAGGAGGAATTGGAAAGACTAGAGAGAAAGAAAACCATAATCAGAGTATGTCATATGGGAACTGGTATTAATTAAAAATAATATATAAGTCTAATGCATTTAGAAAAAATAGAAAATATTTTAAATATATTCTAAACACTGTACTAAGCAGAATTCTTAGACCCTGAATCCAAAGTATGGCCTATGAAAGCAAACAAGGGTGAATCCAATTTCATTAATATTAAATACTTTTGTGCCATAGCAGATGCAGTTGAGGATCACAGTTGAAGCCTCAGGAGAAAGCATCGGCAAATCTCATGTAAATTGTATTCATTATTTGTGAACAACATCCTCATAGGATCACGTACATGTTAGCATTTGTTAACCTTGGATTCAAAGCTCCTATATTCTTTGTGCTTATTCACAGACACGGGTCTGGCTTCAATCAATAGACCCATCTAACATTCAAACAGCAGTGAAGACTGAGGAAATGATCCTGCAGGCACACTTGCATTTGACAACATTATACTTCTAGTAGATTTCTTTGTTATTAAACATGCCCACCCCAGGGTGGTGCTGTGAGGCTGATCAGTGCTCCAAACTCATGTCCCTAATATTAAGAGGAAGTGTATGAACATCCCAGGAACTCCTGTCTCTACCTCCCCAGTTCTGGGGATAGGTTTTAGCATGAATTCTGGAAATGAAACTCAGGTCCTTACAAGGCAAGCATTTTCCTGACCAAGCCATCTCCCTGGACCAGGGTTAAGTATTAAACTATTGAAGGAAATGTAAGGAGGCATTCATGAGAATCATTTCCCCTTGGAAGGATCACTCAGTATTTGCTACTTTGTCATAAATTTGTAGAAGGCAGGTACAACAACACTTTAACTAACTGACAAAGGTTTATTACCTAGGTTAAAGTACTCTCACAAATGGACAGTTAAAAAAAAGTCAGAAATCAAATACATAAACCAACATTTCACTAAAGGAGGCAGATCCATTGGACATAGAATAAAGACCTAGAAATATGCTTTAATTTCTGTTTAATTTTATTCAAAACAACATATAGATTCAAAACAATCCAGGGAAGAATATAATACCCCTTTTCATTAAGATAAAGACAATAAAACTTTCATACATACTAAAGGGTTAAAATAGTTCTCATAGATGCAGACATTTGATTTTCTGTTTTCAAATTAAATCACACATTTATAGTAATAAACACTGAATGATACTGACATAAAAAAGTCATTGACCAGTAGAATATACTCAAGAGGGAGAAACAAGAATACTGAGTGAGCTCATCTCATTCTTGACCAAAGATGTGAGGAACTCATAGAAGAAAAGGAGGAAGATATCAGAAAATAATATGGGGAGACTATATATCCATGAGGCACATAATGAAATCAGAAATCCATTCAACACCATTCACAGAAGTAACTCTGAGTGTAATAAAGAATTAAACACAACACCTCAAAACCTGGAAACTCTAAACCAAAACAAATTTGGTATGGGCAATGATTTGGCCATTACTTTGCCATCAAAGGCACAGGTGATACATAAACAAGTGGAAGCTTCACATCAGCCAAAGAGGCTGCTACACAGTGGAAACAATAATCAGAATGCACAGCATCCATCATATGAAAGAAAAAATTTGAAAATCATATATCTGTATGTCTGGTAATTGGCCCATAAAAA